CATATAGCGCCTTCTTGAGTCTATACACCTGATCTCCCTTAGTGTGTAACTCAAATCCTGGAGGTTGTTCTACATACACTTCTTCCTCTAGGTTTCCGTTGAGAAATGCGCTTTTGACATCCATTTGATAGACTTTGAAGTCCTTGTGAGTAGCAAAGGCTAGAAACAGCCTTATAGCTTCAAGTCTAGCAACTGGAGCGAAGGTTTCATCAAAATCTATACCTTCTTCTTGACAATATCCTTTTGCAACTAACCTGGCCTTGTTTCTAACAACAACACCGTTTTCATCCATCTTGTTCCGGAAGACCCACTTTGTCCCAATGACATGTCGATGAGTAGGTCTGGGAACAAGTTTCCAGACATCATTTCTGGAAAACTGGTTGAGTTCTTCTTGCATTGCATTGATCCAATCAGAATCAGCTAGAGCTTCTTCAATATTCTTTGGTTCCACTTGTGAGATGAAACAAGCAAGCATAGCTTCTAGATTCTGTTGGGCACTTCTTGTGCGAACACCATATTGAATATCTCCAATGATCTGTTGAGAAGGATGATCCCTTAACCAACGAAGATTGTGTTGATTGGGATTGACTGGTTGATCTAGTTCAGCTTCTGGTTGAAGAACAGAAGTTGTTGGTGTTTCCGGATGGATTGGCACTGAGTTGCCATTTCCGGAATTGTCGCCGTTTGAGATATCCGGAATTTCCGGATGGCTCAGCACTGTCTGAATCCGGATTTCTCTGTGAAATCTTCAGAGGCAGACTTCTGAATGGAATGAATTCCGTGGGCTTCATTCTATCTCCTTTATTGACTCCTTCATCCTTGTCTGATAGATCCAGAACCTCATGATCATGCTTTGATGGCTTGTCATCCACATGTTTTTCATCAAAAATGACATGTATTGACTCTTCAGTGAACATGGTTCTTTTGTTGAAGACTCTGAATGCCTTGCTTACCATGGAATATCCTAGGAAGATGGCCTCATCTGACTTCTCATCAAAAGTGTTCAGATGATTCTTCCCGTTGTTTAACACAAAGCACTTGCTCCCAAAAATATGGAAATATGATATATTAGGCTTTCTCCCGTTCCACAGTTCATAGGGAGTTTTGTTGTGC